CCCGCCCGCCTCCTCACCTGAATATCAGGACAAATGATGTCCCGATCGTACATCGGTCAGGACGCGGGACAAAGGGCTAAATATCGGGACAGTCCCAATTTTAGCGAAGAGCAGGGCCCCCCAGAGCACGGGGCCAGGGGTGATCACCCCCATTCACCCTACCCAAGGGACGACTCTGCCTGTACATTTACAGTGCTATGGTATATCAACAGTTTTAATTGTTGTTATTTATTAGCATCTCAGGGGGAGAATAGTTGGATGCATCTCTGCTCTTGATACTGTTTCAAAATTAATAGCCATCTGTCTAGGCACTTCTCTGGCCCCCATCACCGCAGTATCTGAGCATCTCCCCTAATTAATGTATTTACCCTCACAATGCTTCTATATTAAAAAGGATTAGTATCCCCATTTTACATAATGGGAAAATGAGGCACAGAGGGATGGCATGTTGCAAAGCCTTGTGCAGAAGTTTACCCATTAATCCACACAAGTCCCATGTGTCGCATTTTACCAATGGGGAAACTGAGGCACAGAACGGGGCTGTGTCGTGCCCCAGGTCATCCAGCGAAACACTGGCAGAGTCAGAGATGAGACCTTCCAGACCCAGGCGCAATCCCGGTTGCATCTCTAAGAATAATGCTTCTGTGCTGAAAACATACTGCAGTCACACAATGCATAGTAATCACGTTATCTTCCTGCTTTGTGTTCATTTTGTGATGGGTCTTGAAGCCTTTACTATGGTATCTAGTCTGCATGAGGCATATTTAATGTTTTTATAGATAGTTACTGGCCGCATCAATTATTAAGCAAATCCCACAGGCGCTACATTAAAGCAACTTTTGCATTGCAATGTTGATGCAATATTAAGTGTTTGGTAAGTCAGCCTCGTCTACAGTATGCTCCAAAGCACACAGGGTGATATACCTTTCACCAACAGAGATCACAGACATTAAGGACGTGTAAGCAGTGTCAGGATGAGCTCCACCCTGACATCTGGTGGTGAGGTGTGGCAAGGCTCCACCCTGACATCTGGTGGTGAGGTGTGGCAAGTTGTGGAAAAGAACTTCAGGGGCCGATCTCATTTGCATAGGCACACCCACCCCGCCTAGAATGAGACCATAGCTGCCCAAATGGTCACTTTGGCTGCTGTGGGATCCCCAGTGTCTCTGTTATTGGGGCAGGAAGAATAAATTGTTATTACCCTGATTATGGGAACTGTGCTTGGAACTGTACGTGGCCTTTTGTTATGATGGAGGGATTCACCATCAACTAAGTAGCACTCGCTAGGCAAGGGTCATGGGTTCCAAAACTGTGTGAATGGAGAGAGGCTGGGGACAAGTATTAATACTTGGTGGTATGGGCCCCTTGGTGAGGGCCTTATATGCTAATTGCACTTCCTCCTCTCTCCACTGTGGAATATCAGAGCTAATTTTGATTTCATTAGAAGTCTAGTTATAGGCTGCTGAGCTCACTTTGGGCTGACAGTGCACCAGCACTGGGGCTCCCCTACTACAAGCTGAATTCACCTAAGAGCTGAAATCACTGAGTGTTGTGTTAAGTAGTGGGGGAGCCTGAAGATATATTGTGGAGCAGTTCGACGCGGAGCAGTGTGTGGATGGCAGGAGCGGCTTGTGGGCCGTGGAGCTGAGTGAAGGAGTTTGTGGGGCGGCTAGCGGAGCGGAGCGAAGGAGTTCGTGGGGCGGCTGGCGGAGCGGAGTGCAGCTGAGCGAAGGAGTTTGTGGGGCGGCTGGCGGAGCGGAGTGCCGCTATGGAGCTATGGGGCGGTCAGCTTCAGATCACGTAAGGTGCCTCTTACCCCCGTCCCATTTCCACCCAGGTTGGGAGGTAAAGCTCCGCAGATAAACTTTCGAACTCTGGGGCTGCCCTGACCAGGGACAGAGACTTTTGGGGCATTGGACTTTTGGGACTTTGGGTGATTTGGGGTTGCTGGACTCAAGAACCAAAGGGAAAAGGGCATGCCCCAATTTGCCTGGGGTGGGTTTTTTTTTTGATCATGGGTTGTGTTATGAATCCTGTTGGTGGTGTTTCCCCAACATAATGCCACATTGTTTCTCTCTGTTATTAAAAGGCTTTTGCTACACTCAGACTATGTGCTTGCGAGAGGGGAAGTATTGCCTCTTGGAGGCGCCCAGCGGGGGTGGTATATATTTGTCCCAGGTCACTGGGTGGGGGCTCGAGCCGGTTTGCATTGTGTTATTGGAATGGAACCCCTAGATATTGAACCCGGCCCTTGTTGCTGCCAACTCTGACGGGCAGAAGGGTTACAGATGCAAAAGGCCTATAAGGTCCATCCCTTACAGCCTGAGAAGCGAAGTTCTGGAGCAGCCTTCCAAGGGGAGCAAAAAGCCTAACTGGCTTCAAGGCTGAGCTGTATTGTGCAGGTAACAGAGCTTGATAAGTTTATGGAGGGGATGATATGATAGGACTGCCTACAATGGCATGTGGCCCAACAGTGACTGCCAGCAGCAAAAATCCCCAACTGCTGGAGATGGGACACTAGATGGGAAGGGCTCTGAGTTACTACAGAGGATTCTTTCCCAGGTGTCTGCCTGGTGGGTCTTGCTCACATGCTCAGGGTCTAACTGATCACCATAGTTGGGGTTGGGAAGGAATTTTTCCCCAGATCAGATTGACTGAGACCCTGGTGGGTTTTCGCCTGCCTCTGCAGCATGAGGCCCAGGTCACATGCAAGTTTAAGCTAGTGTAAACAGTGAATTATCTGTAATTTGAAGTCTTTAAACCATGATTTGAGGACTTCAGTAACTCAGCTGGGTTAGGGGTCTATTATAGGAGTGGGTGAGGTTCTGTGGCCTGCAATGTGCAGGAGATCAGACTAGATGATCACAATGGTCCCTTCTGACATTAAAGTCTATGAGTCTGAGTTCCTTAAAATGGATTCAGTGCTTTATCCTCTCTCGGTTTAAGTGACCCTCACAAAGAGACTTTTGCACTGTTGCAATGTAATTCAGAGTTCTCTCTCTTCCCCCACCTCATACAAATTGAGGGTGAAGACCATCATATCATCAATAGATACGATAGCACCGGAATATTTTTCATAGGACTCTCTCTTTCCTTCTGCATACAGCTTTCCATCTCCCCTCTTTAGCTGCTGCTGCACTTCCATGGAGCTGCTACTGATACCTCGAGCCTCTTCCAAAGAGATTACAATTACTGTAATTCAGCACTTCAGAACCCAAGATACTCGCCAGATGGCACCATTCAGCTACCCACCAGCACTGCACAGTTATCAGATAACCAGCTCTGCTATTTGTTGCCTGATGGAATCTGTGTTTATTTCGCAAATAATACAGGAGGGATGTCCAAGTGTCCTCTCCCTTGGAAGATCTTAACACATTTGACGGTGTGGCATTTAAAGGTTGAATGGCAGATCTTGCACTCTGTGATTACGATAGAATTAGACATACGGTAAATGCACAGTGTTCTTGGTGCTATATCATCTGAGGGTGTGATGGTACTGCCTTTCCTATGCTGCATCAGGCTGGGTTAATACTGGAAGGGAGGCTTTTGATGAACACATGCAGGAAATGGTGGAGTGATTCAATTAAGGCAGTCTTCCCTCTGAGTCAGTACCAAACTGCCCAAGCATTGTGCCAGGAAGTGCTGTGGTGCTCGAGGGGTCATGGCCGGTCCCGATTACCTGTGATCATTAATGATCTTTTCACACAAATATTCCTCCTGGAGTCCTGTTCAAATTCTGTCGTGGATGATTACATTCTGAAATCCCACAGCAGCTACAGCTTCCTCTGTCAATTGTTGAGCGTGTCACTGTAGCATTGTTAAGCTATTGTTGTGTTTCATAGAATCATAGAATCATAGAATACCAGGGTTGGAAGGGACCTCAGGAGGTCATCTAGTCCAACCCCCTGCTCAAGAGCAGGACCAATCCCCAATTAAATCCCACCCCACCAGCAGCTGTACTTGAGTGAGGACTAAAGTGAGCCATGCTAGAGGCTCACAAAGCATTTTAGCTTACTTTGGAAGGTAAGAAGCTGTCTGCTTGAGCTTGGGGTAATTGCTCCTAGGAAGAAAACATCTCTGCCTCTCTCCAAGCCTGATCCTGCGGGGTGCTTGTGGGGGCTTAGTGTGAGGGTTGTCTTGTTTTAGGGTGCTCATCTTTTGTACGACTGGATCCTCTCTCAGGATAAAACAGGAATGTTACATAGTCTGGTCTCCGTAAGGTGGCCAGATAGCAAGTGTGAAAAATCGGGATGGGGTGGGGGGTAATTGGCCTCTATATAAGAAAATGCATCAAATATCGGCACTGTCCCTATAAAATTGGGACATCTGGTCACCCTAGGTCTCCATCACTTTTTAGGACTAGGTTTTCAAAGTGTTGTTTATTCGTGCCACTGGATAACTCGCTGTCGTAGGGTCTGTATAGAGGTGTAATGCCCTGTGGGCATATTATGGGGGAGATTAAATTAGCCCTCAGTGAGCCCGAGCCAATCAATGGTCCAGGTCTACATGTCAGCCTGTAGGCAGAATGCAGTGATGCTGGGCCAGGGCTGTTATATGGTCTATATCTTGGTATAATGGCCTACGGGCAGAATATGGCGGAGCTTAGACTGGTCCTTGCCAGGTATGGGCTGCTCCATGGTCCATACCCAGGTATGCCAGGCAGAATATTAGAGCCTCCCGTGGTCTAGGCCCAGCCCTGTGCCCCGGGGCAGCTTCCCCCCCGTTTGCCAGCCCTGAGGGGTGCCTTGTGCTCCCCGCCTCGCTGGCCCCGCCCATGGGCTGGAGAAGAAGGGGCGGGGCTCCTGCCCTCTTTCCCCCTTTCCAACATGGCGGGCCCGGCGCCCATTGCCCGGTCTCTGTACGCACGCGCAGACCTAGAGCCGTTGGGGGCGGGACTAACGGACCGTTCATTCTGTATCTTGTTTTCTGGTGTGTTTAAATGGCAGCTTGTGGGGCGGGGCAGCGGCGTGTGACGCGCGGGTGACGAAATCGCCGCGGGAGCGAAAGGAGAGGGGAGGTGACCTTTGACCCCGCGCCCTTTGCCCCGCCCCGCCCGTGCGCAGGGGCCCTGCGGCCCCGTAGGCCAGTCGTCAGCTCCTTCTCGGAGCGCGGGGCAGAGCGTGCACATCGTTTCGGGTCTGTTCCGGACTTAAAGTGAGTGCGGGCCGCGCCCCCCCCCGGAACCCTGCCCCCGCCTAGTGACTGGGGTCCGCCCCCCACTGAGAGCCCGGTCCCCCCAGTGTCTGACCTCCCTCCGCTGAGAGCCCGGCCCCCCCAGGGACTGCCCCCCCCCCGCTGAGAGCCCGGCCCCCCCAGTGACTGCCCCCTCCCCCCGCTGAGAGCCCGGCCCCCCCAGTGTCTGACCTCCCTCCGCTGAGAGCCCGGCCCCCCCAGTGACTGCCCCCTCCCTCCGCTGAGAGCCCGGCCCCCCCCAGGGACTGCCCCCCCCCCCCGCTGAGAGCCCGGCCCCCGGGCCAGGGACTGCCCCCCCCCGCTGAGAGCCCGCCCCCCCCCCGGCCAGGGACTGCCCCCCCCCCGCTGAGAGCCCGGCCCCCCCAGTGACTGACCCCCTCCGCTGAGAGCCCGGCCCAGGGACTGCCCCCTCCCCCCGCTGAGAGCCCGGCCCCCCCCAGTGACTGCCCCCTCCCTCCGCTGAGAGCCCGGCCCCCCCAGGGACTGCCCCCCCCCCCCGCTGAGAGCCCGGCCCCCGGGCCAGGGACTGCCCCCCCCCGCTGAGAGCCCGCCCCCCCGGCCAGGGACTGCCCCCCCCCCGCTGAGAGCCCGGCCCCCCCAGTGACTGACCCCCCCCTCCGCTGAGAGCCCGGCCCCCCCAGGGACTGCCCCCTCCCCCCGCTGAGAGCCCGGCCCCCCAGGGACTGCCCCCCCCCCTCCGCTGAGAGCCCGGCCCCCCCAGGGACTGCCCCCCCCCCTCCGCTGAGAGCCCGGCCCCCCCCAGTGACTGCCCCCTCCCCCCGCTGAGAGCCCGGCCCCCCCAGGGACTGCCCCCTCCCCCCGCTGAGAGCCCGGCCCCCCCAGTGACTGACCCCCTCCGCTGAGAGCCCGGCCCCCCGGGGCCAGGGACTCCCCCCCCGCTGAGAGCCCGCCCCCCGGCCAGGGACTGCCCCCCCCGCTGAGAGCCCGGCCCCCCCAGTGACTGACCCCCCTCCGCTGAGAGCCCGGCCCCCCCAGTGACATCCCCCCCCCCCACTGAGAGCTCGGCCCAGGGACTGCCCCCCCCCACTGAGAGCCCGGCCCCCCAGGGACTGCCCCCTCCCCCCGCTGAGAGCCCGGCCCCCCCAGTGACATCCCCCCCCTCCGCTGAGAGCCCGGCCCCCCCAGTGACTGCCCCCTCCCCCCACTGAGAGCCCGGCCCCCCCAGTGACTGCCCCCCCCCCCCCGCTGAGAGCCCGGTCCCCCCAGTGACATCCCCCCCTCCGCTGAGAGCCCGGCCCCCCCAGTGACTGCCCCCCCCCCACTGAGAGCCCGGCCCAGGGACTGCCCCCCCCACTGAGAGCCCGGCCCCCCCGCTGAGAGCCCGGCCCCCCCAGGGACTGCCCCCTCCCCCCCGCTGAGAGCCCGGCCCCCCGGCCAGGGACTGCCCCCCCACACTGAGAGCCCGGCCCCCCCAGTGACTGCCCCCCTCCGCTGAGAGCCCGGCCCCCCCAGGGACTGCCCCCTCCCCCCGCTGAGAGCCCGGCCCCCCCAGGGACTGCCCCCTCCCCCCGCTGAGAGCCCGGCCCCCCAGGGACTGCCCCCCCTCCGCTGAGAGCCCGGCCCACCCAGTGACTGCCCCCCCCCTCCGCTGAGAGCCCGGCCCCCCCAGGGACTGCCCCCCCCTCCGCTGAGAGCCCGGCCCCCCGGCCAGTGACTGCCCTCCCCCCCGCTGAGAGCCCGGCCCACCCAGTGACTGCCCCCCCCTCCGCTGAGAGCCCGGCCCCCCGGCCAGTGACTGCCCCCCTCCGCTGAGAGCCCGGCCCCCCGGCCAGTGACTGCCCCCCTCCGCTGAGAGCCCGGCCCCCCGGCCAGTGACTGCCCCCCCCCTCCGCTGAGAGCCCGGCCCCCCGGCCAGTGACTGCCCCCTCCCCCCGCTGAGAGCCCGGCCCCCCCAGTGACTGCCCCCTCCCCCCGCTGAGAGCCCGGCCCCCCCGGCCAGGGACTGCCCCCCCCACTGAGAGCCCGGCTCCCCGGCCAGTGACTGCCCCCCCCCCCACCGTATAGCATGCAAACTTTCCTGTAACGTTAACTTTGCAGTTAGTTCAGGAAGATGGGTTTGAATTAGTGCACCGCTGCAGGCATTTAATGCAGAAAAAGTTTACAACTCCATGAGAAAACAGGTTGATTTCCAAACTACACGAGGGCTTTAAATGCAGCTCTAGCCAATCGATTCGTAATGTTCCTGACTCTTTAGGGAGCAGCTGTAAAATGTCTGTTTCAAAATTGGAAATATGGCTCCTAGTCAAAACTGCAGTGGGAGGCAGACATGAAAACAAAATGTGGTAGGCAGTCTATTGAGAGAAAATGATTAAGCACCGACAGTTGTGTTTGGTGCTGTATAAGAATGCTGTTTCTCAATGACCAGTCCCTGAGATCTCCCTGACACGGTTTAGGAAGGCAGCAAGCCACTCCCTGGTATCAAAAAGCTTGAGAAACATTGGTCTAGAAGACTGAATGTACTGATTTGTTTACTCATGGAAAAAGTGGAAAGGACTAATTTTCAGAAACACCTATTAGATGCTGGGTAATGATTTACCCTTCTTTTATTTAAGGTGTCAGCGATCTTCTGTTTTCCAAGGGGAGCAATTGAAGTATTGCTTACCAGCCACTAAAATGGCTTGTTTGGCATCAACTTTAGGCCTTGGTTCAAGGCAGGTTTGCCCAATTATGTATGACACTGACCTCCTCCCTGGCCCATCTCTTTCTCTCGCGCACATACCCCCTTCCCCCAAAGTAATATATGCTAAAAAGTTGACCTACCCTAACATTAACACTTTGATGGGATGTAGGAGAAGTCCCATATTCTTCAGAATTCTGTAGATCCCAGGCCTTCTTTTGATCATGAGAAGTAATTTAAACCCTACCATTTTTTGTGATTTTTGACCTTTTCTAAAAATGGTTTGCTCTCCATCACCATCAGTTTAGCTGTCACTATCCCCATATCTGGACTGGTGACGTAGTTGAAGCTCTTTTCTTCTGGAGCTGAGAAAGAAATTGCTTCTGTGCTAAGGCCTTGTTTTCATTTAACCTGGCAGAGCCATGTCGGTTAGGGGCATGATTTTTTTTTTTTAAACCAACATAGCTATGTCAACAAGGCCCTGTAGTGTAGATGCAGTTTTGCCAGTATAGCAACATCTGCACTACGGACTGATTCCGGCACAGCCGTGTTGGTTGGGTGTGTGCTTCTTGACGGATAGAGTTTTGCTGGCAGAAGTCTGTAATGCAAGTGTAACTATACTTACAAAACTGCTCTTTTACCATAGCAGTTCACAGTGCAGCTTTGCCAGGATAGTCGTGTCCAACTTAGGAGCACTTGGCCAGTATAGTATACGGGTAGTCCATACCGGCAAAGCATTCCTAGTATATATGTAGCCTTGCTCTGTTTATACTGATATAGCGTATGCTGTTTCCCTGAACCAGCAAATGGCCTGGTGTGCACTAGATGATTAGGTCAGATTAACTAGGTCAGTTGGGGTCTGAAAAATCCACTGAGCGGCATAGTTAAGCCCACCTAAATCTCTCTGTACATAGTGTCGGCCTAGTTGCCACCTCTCAGGGAGGCGGATTACCTACGCAGATGGAAGAATCCCTCCCATTCATGTAGGTAGTGTCTATGCTGAAGTGCTACAGTGGCGCATTATCAGCTGTGTCACTGTAGCGTTTTAAGTTAGACAAGCCCTAAGTTATACTTTATATTAGTATAAAAGTGCGGACACAACTGCAACCACACTAGAAGGTTTTGCTGGTGTAACTATGTTGGGAAAACCTTCCTCGTATAAAGACAGCATAAAACCTTGCCTGCTAGTTTGAGACCCAAGGAGGTATCTGTATCTGATGCCCTTTGCTCCAGCAGTTTCCTCCCTCTGGATTTGTAGTTCAGTAATAGTCATTAAATGCTTAGATGAGATTGTTTATATTCTCTTTTATGTACCATAGGTTCTTATATCCTGACATGGGAGCTCTTTAAGGCAACACTTCTGTATCCAAGACATTAACTTGAATTCTTTCCTGTGGGCGTCTGTTTCAGAATGCGTTACGTGGCCGCTTACCTGCTTGCTGTCCTGGGTGGCAACAACAACCCTACAGCCAAGAACATCAAGAAGATCCTCGACAGCGTTGGTATCGATACAGATGATGCGCGTGTCAACAAGGTTGGTTTCTTTGCATTAGTGTCTCTTGCCTTTTGAAGTAGTTACAGGAACACTCCTCTGAGAGAATATTTGAAGCAGTTATCTTACACTCCAGTACCATACAGAATATAATGCCCTGGTAGTTTAATAGTGTAAACGGGCTTGTTAAACTTCTTTTCTGGTCTGTATAGCTTTGGAAAAGCCTAAGGGTTCTTACAACTTGCCAGTTGGAAGTTCACTGGTGTTTAGTGCAAACATAGGACTGGAAGAGACCTGCTGAGCCATTGAGTCCAGACCCCCACAGCTCCAGCTTGCAGTGATGGAGGTAGTGGGTTCAAATCTCAGAGGAATCTTGGCCAGGGAAGTAAAAATTGTGACACTTGAGTGCAAAGTGCTTTTGTGGAGGGGAGCAAAGTTCAGGCCTTCCTTACCTTCCCAGACTGCTGGAGACAGAGTCTCCTGTGAAGATGGTATCCATGACTTCTGGATGATTGTAGGCATTTGGACTTAGTCAAGGCAAAGATACTCATATCCAGATATCAGCAGGAAAGAGAAAAACACACTGCAATATGAAATTTTTGAGACTTGGAGACTGGGAGGAAATCCAGAAGAATCTCTGACAACTTTTCTTTTTTCTTCCCAATGTACTTTTGTCACTATATATAGTCTCTATCAGTAACAGAGTACATAAACCCATCTGCAAATGTTCTCTCCTATGAGTTTCACCTTTTGCCTGCTCTGAAAGCTTTAATATTGATTGTCTACTGATTCATAGTATGAACTGTAGTATTAATTACTGCTGGGAAAACACTGTACTGAAATACTATTCCTGATTTTCTTCAGTAATTGACTGTCCTATTGATGCCTACCTCTGAATGGGAGGAAGAATGGGGAGGGTGTATGGGTAAAGAGAGAAACACACACACTTTATATATAAACATCTGTTTATGGATAAAGATCTGTATGTGATGTAACCTTTCTTAGCTGTACTATGTGGGTATGGCAACTGGAAAACAACAGCCAGCGTCAGAGCAAGGTGGCAGTAGGTTTGTCATGTGGCTCTTAACCACATTGAAGCAACATTAACACCTTATGTGAAAAACGTGGACGACTTAAAGCAAGTAAATAGCAATCTGCAATCGTCAGGGACAATCTCGTCTGTTCCACTTGTAACCGTGTTTGCTGTTCTTGCATTGATCTGTCTTCGCATTTACATGTTCACCTGTAGTATTTGCTGAATCCTGATACGTCGACATCAGCATGAGACTCCATCCCTGTCTATGGGTGATATGGGCTGTTCAGTTAATTTATTATTTATGGTGCCTAGAGGCTCCAGCTGAAATTGAGTCCTCATTGTAATAGGTGCTATACCAGGTGGGTACTGTTCTGAGAAACGTGGAGTAGGTGGACAAAAAATAGGAGGGAAACAGAAGGAGGGAACAACCTTGTTCAAGGTTACAGAATAGTTCAGTGGCAGAGCTAGGATAGAACTCAGGGTCTCCTAACTCAGAGTCCAGTGTCCTGATTTAGTTGGGGATTGGTCCTGCTTTGAGCAGGGGGTTGGACTAGATGACCTCCTGAGGTCCCTTCCAACCCTGATATTCTATGATACCTCCCCAAACTGTTGCGTTCCCAAATAGCTTTAAGCAATTGCATGCTATGAGAAATTTTAAATAAAGGAATAATTTAACTTTAAGACTTCGGATCAGCTTTTTTAGTGTTAAAATGTTAAATTCCTGGTCGAGTTCAGTGACGCCTGATACTGCACCATAAGATGAAAGTGCATTGAGCAAATGAGCATGCAGTGACTCGTTACTGAACTTAGTTATTACTTCTACAGCTTTCAAACATGTAGTTTATAGTTTCTATTAAAAGAAAGTGTTATACTAGAAGTCTATTGTTTGTTTGTTTTTTAAACCACTTCCTTACCTGCATGTGTCTAAAATTTCAAATCTGGTTTGTTCTTTGCTATTTATGCTATGTAATTTTAGCACTGGTCAAAGTCGGTGTCACTTACCTCCTTCCCTTTCTAATGCACTAACTTCATTCAATACTGCAATGTTTGGGCTGCAGATACTGCAAGGTAATGTTTTTTATCCTGACAAGTGTTCGGTTCAGATCTTATTTAAATTTTATGCTAATATTGCTGTTAGTTGATCTTGTAAACATTCTCCAGAAACCTACTTTTTGTCTCTAAGCTATTCTTTGTCCCTTTAATTCCTTAATGCTCTGTTTAATTATTCTGTTACGCATACCTTTGTGGTAATGCGTATGTTGGGGAATTGCCAGTGTCAAGAGACGACTAAACATGTCGAACACCCAAAATTCCAGGATTGATCTTTAACCTCTTTCTTTTTCTCTCTCTCATAATAAAGGTCATCAGTGAACTGAGTGGCAAAGATGTTGATGATGTTGTCAACTCAGGTAAAAACTTACCAGATTTTAAGAGCTTAGTTGTTGCAAGACAGAACTAGACAGATCAATCCATTTGCATTTCTGTGGATTCATCTAAAAGGGAAATGCTGGGTTTCATATTTGCTTGACAGAAGCAAACGCCAGCTAAAATATTGATTTGCAGAGAAGTGTCTCCAGGCAGTTGTCTGTTACAAGCTTATTAAAATACAGTAGGTGTTTGTCTCGGCAGCTCAGTCGGTGTTAAAGTGCATTTTATTGTAAACGAGCGTATAGATTCTTGCTCTAAATCAGAAGATGAGCCTTGTATGCAAAGGCTTAAAACCAACTCTGACTTCCCTTTATTTGAAGTGGAAATTGGATATTTCTTTATTTTATCCCTTCAGATGGAAAAACACTCCCCTTGTGACTATGGGAAGACACAAGAATGTAACTAGAGTGTCTTTGATTAGTATTATGAACTAATCAACCTAATTTTGAATCACTGTTCACTTCCGTTAAATTACAGATTCACAATGGAGTATCAAATTTTTAGGTATACCCCAACAGAATACAGTAGCAATCTTTCAGTTCATTTTTTCCTGCTATTATGAAAACACTTACTTATATGCTTGTAAGCATTACCATTAAAATAAAGTTGCCACCAAGATTCTGTACTAAATTAAGCAGGGGTTGAGATTCAGAAAATTCCTGAGTTTCAATGAAGCTTCTGGGGCAAGTCACTTAATCTTTCTGAATGTGTTTTCCCCATCTCAGAGAGTGGGGAAGTGATAGGAGGCTTAATTAATCAGTGTTTGTAAAGTTTGAAGCAAGTTTTAATTGCTGAATGTTAAGTTCATTACATTCCTTTCAGATTTGGTTCTGTGCTGCATTATAAAGACCATTGATTTTTACTCTCGTGATGACTTTCAGAAAGATTAAAATTCAGGTCTTCACTACCTGCAGATATTTTATTCCTGTGCAGTTTAACTTTTATAATTCAGAGCCACATTCTAGATTCAGAAAATGTGGCTTTGAGCATTGGAATAAATTTAGTGCAAAGCTGAAGACCCAGTTTCATTTTGGTGTACTAGTTTTCAGCCCAATGCTCATTTTGCACACCAAATAATTTCCCGGCACAAATCAGACACTTCCAAGATTAGGGTTCACTTTTAAGTAACTTTCATCCAATGTGAGCAAAAGTGATTTGAAATAACTGAACTTGTGGGGAGGGATAGCTCAGTGGTTTGAGCATTGGCCTGCTAAACCCAGGTTGTGAGTTCAATCCTTGAGGGGGCCATTTAGGGATCTGGGGCAAAAATTGGGGATTGGTCCTGCTTTGAGCAGGGGGTTGGACTAGATGACCTCCTGAGGTCCCTTCCAACCCTGATATTCTATGATTCAAAATGGCCATTTTGTACCATGCTAATTCATTTACTACGTAACACATTTAGTGCAGCTGCTTGTGAATTTTCTGTTTGGGCAGCGTTTATCTGTGTATACATTTCAGAGTGGTTGCCTTCACATGTCTACGAAACACATGAGACAAAGGTTAAAAATCATTTCATTTGTCTCAAGTGCTATGCCATGCAGTGCTGTCTTGCTTCAGGCGTGCACTTGCGCCCTTTATGTGAAATGTTGTCCTTGTGTCGGACATCATAAGACGAAAGAGGTTACTTAGGTACAACACGTTCTGCCTAACTTTGAGGGCTCTTAGAATGAGGCTGTGTGTGTGTTGTTTACAAGTCTCTCATGTCGTAGGCCTCTCCAAGTTAGCCTGTGTTCCAGCAGGAGGTGCCCTTGCTACAGCCCCTGCTGCATCTCTGGCTGCCGGTGAAGGCGCACCTGCAGGTATGTCTTGTTTTTGCGGGAGGGGCGTTCCTGGGTTCTGTGTGAGACTGAGAATGCTTCTCTCTTAAGAGGGTCTCTTATTTTCCACAAACAGTAAATCCATGAAGAATCTGACCTGAAGCATGAGCCTTCATAGCTTTCCTAACTGTAGGAGCTGCTGTGCTTGGTTTAAACGTAGAACTACTTTTTTTTTTTAAATGTACACAGTGCAAACTTTTAAACCAAGATTAGCTTGGGAAACATCTTACAGGAGTGACTGTTCATTTTAACGTAACACTTTGGTGACTGAGGATTGTATTTTCTAAAGCTACATGGGTGAAAGGCTCAGATGTCCCATTAAATGTCAGTTCGATTTTTGCACCTATGTCATTTGGCGCTTTTGAAAGTCTCCCCCAGTTGGCACAGAATAAGCCTTAAAAACCAGGGCCTGCCTGCCCAAAATTTCTTTTCCTGGGGCATAACTTTTATTGCCTTAAAGCGTAACTTTTATTGCCCGCAAGTGGCGGGGAGGTAAAGGATTGCTTAAATTCATACATACTACGTTTGTCTCCGTGTACATGTACACAGTATTCATTAGTCAAACACTAAATTAACATGCACAAGGATGATCCAGACTTCTGTCTCTTAGCAGGAGCTACTGGACTTTCAAATATAATTTACACTTTCTTTGACTTGCAGAAGAGAAAAAAGAGGAAGAGAAGAAAGAAGAATCTGAGGAGTCTGACGAAGACATGGGATTTGGACTCTTTGATTAATCACTTTGTTCTGGAAAAACAATAAAAATAGCAAAACCCAAAACTCTTTTACACACAGACTTGATTTACCTACTAAAGATAGACATCTTAGAAGATACTCCCTCCAGAAATTCAATTGGATGCCTAATTCCCTTAGGCTCCTCCTCTTCTTTACGGAAGGATTAATGGTTAGTGAGGGATGGGGAGCCCAGTGATTTGTCAACTTCAGTGAAATCTACTAATGAGGTTTTCAGAAACATGTTTGCTGCATTGCAATATTTAATTACCAAGAGCATATAGTAGTATGGGAAAGAAATGTTTTCAGATCTTCACATATGCATGCTCTCTTGAGTTAAATAGGCCTATTGGATAGCAGAAAACCAAATAAGAAGATCTGAGTTCTTGCTTCTTTCACTGCTATGGGACCTTGGTTGTGAAACGTAACTGCTCTCTCTCTGCCTCACTTTCCCCATCTGTAAAATGGGAATAGTACTTCACAGGTGTGGTAGGGTTAATATTTATAAAGCACTTTAATATCCTTGGATGAAAGGCACTATAGAAATGCAAACTGTCGCATTCAGAACCTGAACAGGCTCCAACTCTCTGCACCAGGCAAGGGTGTTGGAATGCTAGAAGTAACAGATGGGACTTTACTGCAGCTTCCACAACTGGGTGCCAGTATGCTTTGCTTTACGCAGTACAGTTCAAACATGCATGCAATTCAGTATTAGGGCACTACTAAGCACCATATATACTTAATAAATATCCACATATTGCTTCCTGGCTTTATAAAACAGACTGGTTTGATTACGGAAACCTAGCCAATCTATTCTGCTGTATAACCATCCAGTTTACCATGTTCTACAGCTTCCCTATCCTGCAGAATCACAAAACTCCTTTTATTGCACTTAAAAAATGCAGTCAACTTTGTAAAACAATTTGATTCATGGAAGAACTAAAAATCTAACTCTTCTGTTCTGCTTTTCATCCACTTCTCAAAGCAGATAAATCACCATTTTACAGCTGGGGAAACTGAGGTATATGGAAATGAAATGACTTGCCCATGGTCATACAGCAGGTCAATGGCAGATCTGGAAATGGAACTCAGGTCTCTAATTAGTCCACTGTTCTATCCACTAGGCCATGCTGCCTCCCCAGTAACCACAGCAGTGGTAGAACAGGGGAAAGTACAACTGATTGCTCAGCAGAAGGTAGGATTCTGTTCCTTAAAATGTATCACGTTTTCCATCACTTGAAATTCACTGTTTCTGGTGTCAATACATTATTCATTGCCCTGATGTCTGTATAGGTAACTGTGAAACCCGTCCTAATGTAGAGGATCAGTGAAGGTCAGAGCCGTGTACCTACCCTTCCTTGACTCTGTTTAGAAAGCTAATCTCCGTCTCCCTTCGCTTTTGCTCTTGTTAACCTATGCCCTTGTACTTTAAAATAGGATTAAGGCATGAGCCTTGCGTTGATTCGTAATGCAGTGATTAGTCTAAAGTGCCTTCCAGGATTTTAGGCTGTAATGTGTATTAGAGAGTTGAACATCATGTAAACATTTATAATTCCCTCTTAGGGACAACTCAGATGAGAGAGATTTTCCTGATAGTTGGGAGTTTTTCAAAATATTCCTTGCAGGCTGCCTTATGCATTCATCCTATATTTAATAACCAAGACAACTCCCAACCTTTCATTTCATCCCCCATGCCTCTCCACCGTGGCTGTGCATGGGACATCCTCCCTTTTTCCATGTGCCAAGCAACCTTGTTTTCCTCCATGTCCTAAAATTTCTCTTGGCTAGTCTTTTTACCTCTCACCACAAATGGCTTGCTCTTGTACCTCATCTGACCTTGCCCTTGGGTGGAGCACACTGAACGTTGTAAGTAAGACACGAGAAGTGATTCTTTCCCTCTGTGCTGATTAGGCCTCAGCTGGAGTATTGTGGCGCTCAGAACTGGACATGTTTCAGGAAGGACGTGGACAAATTGGAGAAAGTTCAGAGGAAAGCAACAAAAATGATTAAAGGTCTAGCAAACAACATCTATGAGGGAAGATGGGAAAAAATGGGTTGTTTGAGTCTGGAGAAGAGAAGACTGAGGGGGAGACATGGTAACGGTTTTCAAGTACATAAGAGGTTGTTACAAAGAGGAGGGTGGAAAATTGTTCTCCTTAACCTCTGAGGATAAGACAAGAAGCAACGGGCTTAAATTGCAGCAGTGGAGGTTAGGTTGGACTTTAGGAAAAACTTCTTACCTGTCAGGGTCGTTAAGCACTGGAACAAATTGCCCAGGGAGGATGTGGATTTTGTCATTGGAGGTTTTTAAGAACAGGTTAGACAAATACCTGTCAGGAATGATCTAGTTATTATTTAGGCCTGCCTTGAGTGTAGGGGAGTGGGTTAGATCGGTGGTGCTCCACCTGTGATCTGTGGACCGTGTCTAAGATTTCCAGAGGGGATCGCACCTCCACTTGAAATTTTTTAGCGGTCCGTAAATAGGGGAAAGGTTGAAAACCGCTGGACTAGATGACCTATTGAGGTCCCCTCCAGTCCTATACCTGGTGATTCTGTGGCATCTTTATTCACGTTTTAAAATGGAAGCTTTTGTTGAACAGGAGAGAGTAGTTAATGCCAAGTGCCACATGGGTGGGTGCATGGGCTTATGGCATAAACACGTTAGCTGGGAGATTTTAAAAAAAAATGATAAAACCAATGAAATAATTAATGTTGGTAATGTTGCTGTTAACTTTAGCATTGTCATGAGTTGAACAGGTTAATTTGAAACAGCAAATATTTTTTTCCAGTTTGCAGACTCAGGAAGACAATTCTGCGTGGGTTTGCATTCAATTAATACTTTTAAGGTGGTATTCTCAACCATGACGATTGGCAATGACTTTTCTTTTTCAAACAGAAATTCTGTGCCATGGCTCTGACCAGTGACTTTAATATACCAGGATCCAAGCAGCTATTGAAGCTGGCAGTAACAAGACATGCTATTATTAAATAACCCAATTCCGATCACCTTTGTGACATCCCTTTCCTTGTGTATGCTTTGTCTGTTAGTAACCTCTTTAGGCAGACCTGATTTATCTATGATGTCATTTGCTGTACTGTAACACTGGAGTAACTCCTTTGAACTCAATGCAATGTAGTGTAACTGAGAGCAGAAGGTGGTCCCTACTCTTTTCCAGACCTGTGGGGAATGTTCTGTACGTTATTGGGACTACACCACTAATGAAGGACATCAATAAGCCAAGTTGCGTAGTAAGTTTTGGCACTGTGTCCTACTCACAAATCTTTATAGTCTGGGAGCAAATAACTAAATGCAAGAATTAACACTTAATCCCTCTAATCCACAAAGCGATCCCTCTCGGCATATAAAGGCCATGCAAAAAAGAAAAGAAAAAAAAAGATGATTGCATTTGTGTCATTTTGTTCTGCTTTTTCATTGCCCTCTAAATAGCAACTCCTGTCTGCAAGACATGTGGATTATAAAGAGAAATATGGGGTGGGGGGGAATTCACCTCAGTGGCAGATTTTCTTGGTCATGCAGACACAATAATATAAATTACATGGTATTAAATGCTGCAGTTCAAAAGGATGCATCTGCTTGGGACAGCTCTCCCAAGTGGCTCTGTAGGAAGATAGGTTCCTAGAGGATTATAGTAGCTAAAAATGGACAAAGTCCTATTAAATCATCAAATTAATTACCCTAAGCAAAGGCAGGAAATCAAGTCAAAGGAATCTTTAAAATAACCATTTCTTCCAAGTGTAGTCAAGATATCTGAGGTTGGGTCTGAAGCTGCAACATCTGTGCCTTTCTCACTTCCCAAAAGTTTCACACTTGATCTCATGGCTTTATTTTTGATTGATCACTTTTCTGGTGTAACTTGACCACCTAGACCTGGTCCTAGTACAAGATGAACCATTTTGGACTTCAGTGGCCATAAACCACACACCCTGGTGAGTTTTCAAACCTGGGTGCCTGAAGTGCCCCATCTAAATAGGGCAACCTGATTTTCAGAGGTGCTGAGCGTTGTCAGGTAATGCTCTCCTTCTCTGTGCCTTTGCTTCCCTATCTGTAGAATGGGATTAACAACCTTTAGAGTGAAATCCTGGTACTATTGAAGTGAATGGCAGAACTCCCATTGAGTTCAACAGGGCTAGGATTTCATCTTCAGTGTACCTACCTCATAGGTACGTCATAGAGTTAAATCCATTAACATTTGTGATAAGTGCCGGGGGAATTAGATACTTTTTGTTTAAAAAAAGGGAGGGAGGGATTTCTGTGTGGAGTAAGTCTGACTACTAAGGACCCAGTTGGGAGTCTTTCCATTGACTGACTGATGCTTTTTGAATTAGGACTCTAGAGACTTGTCATAGCAAAAAAAAAAAAAAAAAAGCAACCCACTTTCACCTGCTGCCTTTAGCTGTGATGATGGGACCCTGAAGCGTACGGCATGTGAGTATCGCAACATTTTGGTATAACCTTAAGGAGCACGTTGGAAACAATGCAATTCAGAGTGCTAAAAGTAATGCTCCTTCTCACTCTCGTCTGTCACTTCGTAGGCAGCCTGCCTGGTAAACGAAACATCATAACAGTAGCTCAAACCAGTGAACAGCCACTCCGGTGCCTTCTGAGCAGCGTTCAGATGCCTGCACAGCCCTGTTGAAAAGGTTAAAAGAGCCGGGGCTGCCACTGAGGGGTTGGCATAAGATAAAGGTGCAGCTGCTGTGAACTGTACAACTGGAAAAGCCCCTTCCCCCATCGAACACTTGACCCGGCCTTATCAATGAAAAGGCCCAAAAGTGACACTGGGATCTTTCGAGCTGCCTCGCTACGTTCCCTGACAGGGAAAAGGAGAAGCTCACAACTTCTGCCCAGCTTTATCGCCGGTGTCACTCCATTAGTATCAGCCGGGGTGAATATGGCCCAACGTCCGTCATCCCTTGGATTTTTCAGGCTGGAGGTGGGTTTGTCGAAAAGTGGCATAAAATGGCTCTTCTGTCGTCCTATTTTGCCGTCAGAATTTGCTCCCTTGTGGTAGATCCTGGCCGTTCTG